GCTCCCAGTTATTGTGACTTAGACCACCACCCTTAAAGAACTGCATCCCCCAGACTCTGGTGGTGGCAGTTCAATAAATACACATACTCTGTGGTGGGAAGAACTTATCTGACCCTAGCTTAACAACCATGGAGCCAAATTACCAACATCTAAACTCCTCTTCTGTATCTTTAGAAGTCAATTATTCTCAAAGTCTCTGCAGTATTACGTACCCATCAGAAAAGGAAAGGTGCCCATAGGAGCCTGATTTGTTTCTCATGGTCAGAGCATCCTAAAAATTAAGGCAAAGCAGTCTCAATAGCTATGTTCCTTTGATTCTTTCATATTTTTTGGGAGTTGGAGGGCATAAAAGGAAGGCAAGAAACCAATAAAGATTTAAGTGGATGGAGACAACCTGGAGAGGACAGTTATCCCCCCTCCCCCCACCCCACCTTAGGTAGTCATTTAGAGCTCCAATTATCTTATAGAATTTGTAATTCTCAAGGTCATTTCCACTAACTGTGATAATTTTCTTTTAGCAGAGAACTTAATGCAAACCTAGAATGGTGAGTGTTGTGAGATTTGCATTGGGACTAGGAGCATAAAAAAAGACTGCCGCTCCTAAGTGGGCTGGGCAATTTGAGAAGTAAAGGGGAAGCATGGTCAGGAATAAAAGATGGCGGTGGTGGAAAGGGAACTGGCTGGTCTGTGTGTTTGGGAGAAAAGGAGAGAGAGCTGCTGTGTGGCTCTAAGTCTCAAACTTCCTTTTCTTTTAATACTCAACTTCTCTCTAGAGTCACAATGCATGCCTCCCATGCTTTTCTCAGTTTCCTGCTCAGCCCAATCATATCCCTGAGCACCCCTGTCTCAAGAAATCTTACTCTGCTTATGGTGATGGGTGGAGAAATATGTTCCTTGCAACTCACATAGAACAGTCAGTGGATGTCCTAGCCTTTAAGAACACAGTGTGTGCACTAGCTCTGTTGGCTTAGGTTTAAGTACCATAAATAATGTTATGGGAGTCCCCAACAACCAACTGACAAACTTTAGGACTGCCCAATGCACCAAATGCTCGGAAGGTTAGGCATTGCACCTAGTTATTTAGAATTGCAATGCTGTTATTTTGTACTTCCTGGTTTGAGCTGCCCAGCTGTGACTAAGAGTATGCTTTCCACTGGAGAGTGCCATCCAAAGCATTTTAGAGAGGTCTGAGGCAGAAGCCAATTATTGTTTTAGTGAAACCAACTGCCAAGGAAAAAAGTTGTAACAGTCAATACTTCCAATGATATGAATATTCAGAAATGGTTTCTTTTCAGTGCTTTTGTATGAAGTGAGATACATACCAGGGTAGGGAATGAGTCTCCTTGCAAGCTGCACTGCTGGTAGAGGGTGGGCGGAAGGTTTAAGAGCATGAGAACTTCTGTTATTTATTCCCATTCTGCTCTGCTATTAGATCTCCAGACATTCACCCATTAGGTAGAATGGTTGTCTATGAACATATCAAGATTTCCTCTGCCACCTCACCTCCGGGTGAGGGTTTCTCTGCTGGGGATACTCTAGTATAGGGACTGGGTTACTAGGAACAATCCAGATGAGAAATTTAAGAAGATAGTTTATTCTGTTTCCAAATGTGTTACAGAGGGCCACTGAAAACAATGGAAGCCCTCCTAAGCTGACAATGGATGACACTGATAAAACCTGACGAATTGGGGGCAGTAAAAAGATGGAGAAGTTATATGTATTATGTGCTATCTCCAGCTAAATACCCCTTACTTCTGGTTGGATACAGCATCCAAAAGCAGAGGAAATTATGTGTTCTATACACTAAGCACTCTTGCTAATTCAAGACGTTTTGCTCCTTTCCTCAGCGGATAGATGTGGCACGATCACAGGAATCTAAGATGAAAGAGAGTCACTTCTTTGCTTGATTCCCCCACCCACCCCTCCAGCATGCACAGGCAGGGAAATAATGATCAGGTGGGGCTTTGGCTTAGATCAGGAGTGAGATCCAGCCTTGGTTCTGGTGGCAGTGGCTACAGGTCTCATTTCACAAGCAGACCAGAGCACACCTAGTTAAATCACACCACGTTCAGTCCAGGGAGCAAACAATGCTTACAGCAGGCAAAGAGAGCATCTGCAGATGACTGGCCTGAAGGTTAAAGCAGCCAGGAAAAAACAGCAGAGCACACACAAAACACAAGGGAAGGTACCAGGCCCTGGGGAAAGGGAATACCACACGACAGGGCACTATAGGACCTCTCCTTCATAAGGCCATTACCCTCCAGATCAGGAGAGAGATCAAGAGGCTGAGGGGTAAGTTGGGTGGGCTGAGGTGGATGTGCAGTAGGAGGAGGGTGTATGGAATGCAATAATGTTCAAGTCATCAAAATGGAGAATGTAAGCTGAGCAGGGAGGAAAGGAATCAGACTTACTTCGGAGGGTTACATAGCAACCCAAGGGGGTAGAAATTTCTACTGAATTCCCAACAGCATGCAAGGCAGGGAACTCGCGATGTTTCCTCCACCTCGTTTAAGAAGCCTCATTTGGTGTACTGTATTCTGTTCTTGGCCCCTCAATCTTTTCCCACTTTTAGGAGGAGGGTGTTTGTCAATTAGAAGCCAAAGGAATAAAAAAAGCATTTATAGAGCCCAAGGAGGATTAAACATATGACTCGTTATGTAATAATTTGTAATCCCCTGAAGTCAGCCATTTCCTTTCCCCATGAAGGTCAAGATCAGGATCCAGGGATGGTGTGAACTTTGGGGGTGTCAGGAGGATGGTCCAGAGAGGGCTGAGAAGAGTGAGCTTTCTCCTTCTGATTCCTGAGGGTGTGTTCTTAGTGGTCTCCCCACTCACAGGGCAAGTATTAGGCATAATGACAATTTCTAAGAGCCCAAAATGATCTGTACACACTGCCTTGTGATGTACATAGCAGATATCCTACTACTTGTGCTTCTCATAGGGCAGCCTAGTGACTGACTGGTTATATTGGCAACAGCCACTCTCAGTTTCATAGAATAATAATAGGAATACTAATAGCCACAACCAAAGCCGCCCTATTAGCACATGCCATGTGGCAGGCACTGGGCTAGTTTTACTTTCATGATCCAGTTTAACCCTCCTGTCTCCCTGTATAATTAACATTGCAGCCCCCACTTTCTATAAGAGGAGACTGAGACTGAAAGGTCAAGTGATCTTATATGATTCTAATTCCACCTGTTTAATTCGGAAACCTCTTTTCACTGTGCATTAAAGTCAAGCAGAAAATTGCGGAGGTATGCACGAACCTGCGAAAAGCAAAAATAAATTTGAATGTGTAGGAAGATTATTAATAGCAGGCATGAAAGCTCCAAGCTCTCCCCTGAAGCGGCAGGATAAACTTCATGATTTTTGTCATTCACAGTGAAATTGGACACATTCCTACAAAGTAGTCTGGGTTGAAGGGAAGTGTTGGGATTGGGAAGGAAGGCAGGGGTTGCTGGAGACAGTTGGGATGCACGGAGGGGAAGCCAGCATCTGCCTCTCATTCCTGGCCTGTAAAGAGCAAGTCTCCCTCAGTTACATTAGAACATTCTAGACTTTGTGGGGTTTTGTTTGTTTGTTTGCTTGTTTTAGAACATTCTAGACTTTGAGTACTGATGAGGAAAGTGAGAGGAGGTAAAAGGCACCTGAAGTGTTGGGACGATAGCATCAGTGCTGGCCACGAAATACCTGGGACAGCAGGAAAGTGGCTCAAGCACGCTCAAAGCTTCAATTAAATTAGGTGGAGTGAGAGAGAGAAGCAGGACAATTGCAGGATGTGCACAGCCATCTCCTCCTAGGTGGGGACATCCACATATCCACTCTGCTGTGAATAACCTCCAGCCCTTTCCTTTTGAAGTACCTTGAGCCTATACTGCATCGTAACTCTTGTGGGCATGATAAAGCACTCCCTCCGCAGCTGACATAAATCAGAATAGCCACTCCCATGTGCATCCTGTGTATTTTCTTTATGATCAGTGGGCTCCTTTTTTCTCCTCTGCGGAGATGATGGCTGAACGCTTTTGTTATCCATACCCATTCTTAATGCATATTACTTCCCAGTCCTCCTAGCACGTGAGTTATGCATTTGCCTGTCTTCTCCATTGGGTCCTGAAGGATTGGACTTTGTGTAAATGTCACGCACAAATAGATGGCACCTTTAGTGGTGTTTCAGGCTGCATGCTTCTAAAGCCCCAGAATCGACATCGTGCATCAACAGAAATACAGCACTGTGCCCTAGACAAATAGCAGAGTCCCTACCATGAGCCACACACAGCCCAAAGGCTCAGGTGCAGTAACACAAGTCTGAAATGTTCAATCAGTAGGTGATCAGACCATTAAACTGTAATTAGGTTGTTATAATTATTGAATACCAAACAACATTATAATAACAGAAGTTGCGGCTCTCACATTTTATAGCTCACCGGGGATCAAATTAGTGGCCTATTCAGTCTCTTGGCATAGTAATAGCTGCTGTTCTGTAGAAGGAATCTACTTCTATCAATATCACTGGGTGAGCAGTTTGATAGAGGCACGGACCCTTCCTCAGTGGAAAATGGAAATTTATATGACATCGTTGCACAGAGACCTGGAAGTTACAACTGTGAAAAGGCCTTTTAAAAATCCAAGTTTTACTTTTTGGTGCTTACAGCACAAACAAGATAAAACACCAACGGTGATAAAATGTGGGCTTTTCTTTTTTGAAACAGGCTGCATTAGAGAGAGGAGTATATAAATCCTTGAGAAGCGGAATTATGTTTATATTGAGGTGTATGTAAGCAGACGAATAGGCGCTTAGGAAACTAGGTGAATAAGATGTTTCTAGGAATTTATAATGAAATTGTGATGGTTTTTATTGCAGCTCCTCCTGACTTTAGCAGATAGTCCACGCATGTGGGAAAGCTGAATCATCTTCCTGAAACTGACAGTAACCTTTTTTCCCTCCTTTACCTTCTGTCTTTTCAGAATTCTCTTCGCTCTTGAAGCATCAAGAAGCCAAGATGCTGGTATTACTAGCTGGTATCTTTGTGGTCCACATCGCCACTGTCATCATGTTGTTTGTCTCCACCATTGCCAATGTGAGTAATGTTCTTTTTTCCATTCATTCACCCAGAAGTTATTTGGATATTTATATAAAGCGCTACAAAAGAAGTTTGAGCCACAACCCCTGCCCCTTGTGAATATACAGTTTAGTTGTGGAAAACAATAAACACACGCGCGCACTTCCAACGATTAAACAGCGGGGGGATAAAAGCCAGGGTCAACAGCCAGGGCTCTAGGTGTCTAGGGGCTGGTGAAGACAATGAGACTTCTTGGGTCTGTAGTAGAATCTTCTCCGGAGGTGGAGCTTGGAGGATGGGCAGATGGGCGGGGTCTCTTGGCAGGCGATGAATCGAGGAAGGAGTAGGGACGCATTCCAGGCAGGAGCCCTAGTCAGCCGAGGTGCCTGCCTCCTTGAGGGAGAACCTTTGTTCAGGGCGGAATGAGGACAGCCATGTATGCAGCAGGAGCAGAACTTCTCTTCCTTCTGGGAACCTTGATTAGAAGGATAGATGGGAGACAGAGGATGAGAAGCTGTGGTTGCCAGACTGACACATTCAAATTCTGAGCTGAGAGTAGCACGTGAAAGTGGCATTTTGCGTGATTAACCTGGCTCCACGGAATTAACTCACTTAAACAAAACAACATAAAAATATGGAGGTAGCAGGAGCCTTTTCTCTCCGAAGCTTGGGCTACTCTGACCTCTAGTGGTAGTCGATAGCATCACATTTGCTTTTGTTGCGCTTTTCTCAGAAAGAGACAAGACAGCTCCTCGCACACAAAAATCAAGGCCACCCATCACTAGATGGGCCAACGGTGGTTCCAGAATCTCTTTAGGTCCATGTTACAGTGAAAGAACAAATGGGCTTTAAAGTTCAGATAGAAGAGTTTGCTAACATTGGGGGGGGGGGGGTGTGATCATAAGCAGGGCTAATTTAAGTACAACTCTGATAAGACAGAATCGCCGCCCATGAGGCCTTCTCTAGACTGTAGGTTGGCCATTCTATACACCAGCCCCTAAGTCTCTCAAAATAACGACAAGCCCAATGAACGACTTCAAACCGCAGAAGTGGAGGCCAAGAGTGCTGAATGTCTGAATTATCAGCTCCTAATACAGGGCTTGGCACCTAGCTGTTTCTTGAATCAAGAGCAGGTGATCACACGTTCTTGGACGTGTCCTTCCAGCAATGCTCATTCTAACAGGTGCTGTGTGTGGACAAGTGGATGCTTGTTTTTCAGAAGAAGAATGGTTTTTCTTGGTCCAGGTGGGAAGGGACACTGGCACCACAGTGAGCCTTGGGGAATACGTTTTGGTCACTCTTCTACTTTTAGGGGCCTCGACATTCTTCTGTTTAGATGAAAGTGGCTTCTTGACACGCGGCCCCAGAGAAGCTGTGTGATTTGTCTTTAGCCACACACTCTTCCATCTTTCCTCTTGGGACCTTTGTGACTTCGGTTTGAGTCACATCTCACTTCCACCAAGGGATGGGGGTGCTGAGCTGTATTTGTGGCTCAGTACTGTGTATTGCTTAAGATTCGATCCCGGCACAAACCTGATTTGTTATTCCTTTTTCTTTTAAAGCAGAGGGTGAGTTTTTCAACCACCGTTTGTTTCCTTTTGGTTTCAGGTCTGGGTGGTTTCAGATGATACAAAAACATCAGTAGGTCTTTGGAAAAACTGTACGGGTGGCAACTGTGATGGAGCCCTGTCGTATGCCAATGAAGGTATGTATTCAAGGGCTGTGCTTGGTCCTGAGGGTTGGCGTGATCAGAGAAAAGTCCAGTCCATCCGGGACGAGTTAGTCTAATACCCTTGTTCTCCTCCTCCTGTGTCCACAGATGCCCTCAAGGCCGTGCAGGCTTTCATGATCCTCTCCATCATCTTCTCCGTCATCTCTCTTGTGGTCTTCGTGTTCCAGCTCTTCACCATGGAGAAGGGAAACCGCTTCTTCCTCTCGGGGGCCACTATGCTGGTGTGCTGTGAGTATCGCAGTGGTGGGCTCCCATTCGTGCAGGAAAAGCTTTTATGCGGGTCTTACCGAGGGTGCTCCCGGCAACTCGGACAGACAAGCACATGGCTCAGTGAAGTCACTTTGGACAGCTTTGTCCCCCGGTTGTTTGTTCTCTTTTTGAGAACCCCTGATCGCTGCTTGGAATGAGTGCTGTCAGTTGCTTCATTGTTTAAACCTTGCGCTCCTGGGGCTGCCCTGTCGCTAGTCCTTGTACAGTGGACACTTGAGGGCAGGAAGCTGGCGGTCCTTAGAGAGCCGAAGCCACTGCCTCAATGCATGGCCTTAGTGCTGTTCTTATTCTTCGTCCTTCTTCCCAAACACACAGAATTTGGTGAGAGGTTGTGTTCTTTTGTATCCTGGGCAGCCTGCCTACATACGCGGGGGTCCAGAAGGGAAGGCTGAGTGGCGGACATGAAGTTCTGTGTTTTGCTTCACACTTTTAGCTTCTCAGAGCAGTAGAGATATGAGAGCCCAAACACCTCTAGTTTACCAACACAACCATCGAGGTTGGTCCAGGGCAAATCATAAGAGCAACACTTTGGGGCTAAGTGGCCAGATTTTATCCTCCCGATGAGGGAAATAGGATCTTTTAAAAATTATACAATCGGGGCGCCTGGGTGGCTCAGTCGGTTAAGCGGCCGACTTC